ATGTTTTTGCAATATTCTTGTATGTTACAGTGTCTTCAGCCAGAATGGGGCTCTCTGCTAAAGCCCAAGGGATCGTCAGTCATAGCTGTTCCAGAATCAGGTTGTGTCTAAGCCCTCTGACATGAAGCATTTAAACTATTAATGCCCCTGTGTCCTTTGTCTTTCTCTATCCTATCAAGTAAGCAGAGCCTCCTCATCCTTTACAGCGTCAGAATGCTTTTAACCTCCCCCTTAGTTGAGATGTAGGATCTAATTTTACAGATGTTAATCAGGACACAAGAAATGACCCAAGTGCCAAGGTATTTTATCCAATTCATATCTCTCTGTGTTTGGGCAGAGAAGAACATAATGCTCAAGGTCACAATGCCCAATGACAGGAGATAACAGCACCAAGAGCAAAGCTGGCAAGTGGCAAGCAGATTTATCTTTTCTCTTCCATGTCCATTCCCCACCCCAGAAATTTACAATGTGACTGTTTCGTGTTTTGCCCATTCCCCACCCCATAATATGCGATGCGAGTGTTTCGTGTTTTGTTGGAAGTGGGGAAGAGCATAAAATTACAAGTAGACTTTGTAATGCTGAAGAAAGGGGTTTCTTGGGGTCTACATATGTCTTGGTCAAAAACTACACTTTGAAACAAACTTAGGGGTAGACAATACTAACCCTCATGGAGTTCTAAACTTTTCCAAGTAGCATAACATAGACTGGTCTCTGTCTCCTTTCAACTTAAATTAGTTGCCCCAAAGCAACGTCCAAAGTGTTCTGGTCCCAGAAGTGCTTCTAGAACAAGCTCCTCTTGGTTACAATTCTTTTCATGAAATCATGTTTTGGGGACTGGAACTCGTAGTGTTTAGAGTTAAATGCTGGTCAGGGGAGCCAGGATGAGAAGAATCACGCCCAAAGCTATGCAACTGAAGAATGTTAACATGCAGGGACTAGAGCACTTCCCTTTCTACACGCTGCTCTTGGAACATTTTTCTCCTAATTACCTGTTTAATTTACTCATTCCTTTAAATACTCACCAAGCCACCCTCCCAAAAATCCCTGCTTGTTTAAGTAAACCTTCTCTAATGACCCTAACTGTAACTGTACTGACCCCACATCACAGTTTCCAGAAGCATCTACCTTTATCTTGCTCTAATGTTTTATTTTTTCCATAGCTCATACACCAAGAGTATAGTTTACTTTATTTATTTGGTGTATGTTCACTAAAATTTAAGTTCCATAGTGGAGGAAACTTTGTCTATCATGCTCTCTGAGGTATTCCAAACACTTAGCACAAGGCTTGACGTGTATCAAGAGCCCATATAGACTTTTTTTTTTCCTTTTTGTCTTTTTTACTGACCGGTAACGGGATCGCAATCCTCGGTGTCGTCATATAGACTTTTTTTTTTTCCTTTTTGTCTTTTTTACTGACCGGTAACGGGATCGCAACCCTCGGTGTTGCGCCCACACCGCGCTCAGCCAGTGAGCGGGAACCGGTCTCCACATGGGATCCGAACCCTCGGCAGGAGCGCCGCTGCACTCCCAAGCGGCGCACTCTCCAGTGCGCCACCAGGCCAGCCCGAGACTTTTTGAATTAATGGATTCATCTCCTATAGCAAAGATGGTGAAAGGGCAAAATCCAAACTGCATTCTAGGAGAGTTTTTAAAAAGCACTATGAAGAGTTACAGAAATGTACATTTTCCTCATGCAGAGAAATACGTTGAATTAAATTGCTTGATGCATGTGACTTGCTCATGAATTCTGGGAAAGAAGAAATGGGTATTTTTGTTCCCTAATACATTTTTGTTTCCATTTTCCTTGTTCACAATGAACTTTAATCTCCGATGTCAAACTAGAAACAGAAGTTAGTACACAGCCTTTATGCTTTCCTGTGGTAGAGGCCACAAGCCCAGGTTTCAGACAAGTAAGAATGTCAGCTGATGATAATTCTGCTGCTGTTATTTATTCATTCTCCTTCCCACAACCAAGTGGAATCAATTCGTTAACACATCATTCTCCCTAGGAAACATTGGTTGGTATTTTAGTGAATTGCCCAAGACTCCTATATCCCACCAATTCATCATTGGAAAGGTTTTTTAAAAATAAATATCAAACTCAGCAACATTTTCAAACAGTAAAACTAGAGAGGCAGGTTTATCATCAGTAAAGTTTGTCAGCCTCTGTTTTCAGACATTAAGGTCCAATCAAATGAAGTTCAATACAGAAACTCATCTTGTGTGCATCCTGATTTATTACCATTCCACATTACTTTGTTAGGAAAAAAATATGATGCACATGAATGCATGTGCATTTGTAAATGAGGCCTTACCTAGGTACATGTCTTCACTGTGCCTATCATGAAAGTCAGTGTGATGTCATGCACATGATATTGACTTCAGAGCCAAATGGACCTGTGCTTGACTCCTAACAGTGCCAATTTACACCCCTTCACTCTCAAAAGTGTCCCATTTGGATGATAAATCTATGTTACTGTAAATATTCTTATAGGGCCGAGCCCGTGGCGCACTCGGGAGAGTGTGGCGCTGGGAGCACAGCAGCGCTCCTGTCGCGGGTTCAGATCCTATATAGGGATGGCCGGTGCACTCACTGGCTGAGTGCAGTGCACTCACTGGCTGAGTGCGGTGCAGCCGGTCATAAAAAAGGACAAAATAAATAAATAAATAAATAAATAAATATTCTTATATCACTCACTGGCTGAGTGCAGTGCAGCCGGTCATAAAAAAGGACAAAATAAATAAATAAATAAATAAATAAATATTCTTATATTTAGTTAATTTATAACTCTGTTGTAATTACTGGCCAACTGTAGGTACTCAATAAAAAGCAGGCATTATTTAACAAATACATATGTATCCCAACTTTCTCAGCATCATCATGAAGGTACTACCCTGGCTTCTAAGAGAACTGTAACAGTTATTAACAAAGAAAATGGAGGAATGTCTATAAATCAATAAACTGTTGAAAATATCAGGCAGAGGTCACTAGCCATTCCATGAAAGGAAGGAAGGATAAAGACACCAATGTCAAAGTCATCATTAAACCCAGATTCTACTCCTGCCTGCCTATGCTCCTGGAGTATACCTCCTAAGGGAAACTAGATTTCTAAACTACAGAAAAGAAATAAGTTTCTACATCATGAAATCACTATAGTATGCTGTCCAAGGAAAGGAGGAATTCTCCTGGAAAAAACAAGCACACCTGCAAACAGCAACAATAATCATCACCCTTCTTACAGTACCTCCTGTGTGCTAAGCGCTGGACCTGGCATTTTACATACCTGGTTTTTAGCTTTCCAACCCTGCAGCACAAGCATTATTAGACATATTTTACTGAAAGAGAAATGTTTTAGAGAAGTTGTACAGCTTGTTCAAGGTCACACAGTATTAAGGGATAGAGATACAATTTTAATCCTGCTATATCCAACATCAACAGGGACCAGGTCCTCAGATTTATGCCATTTCCAAGTCCCTGTTTTGCTCCAGAGTTGGTGTTTTGAGAGACTGGACATATATTTAACACGACGAGAAAGGACTCAGAAATTGTGAGTTATTGTGGAAAGGATCATGAACTGCGTCTACATTCTCTGCCTTTGAGGTAAGGAATAATAAGAATCTAAGGGGCCATTTTAGTAAAACATGGACAATCAGTATGTAAGGAGTGTCTTCCATCAACATTGATTCCGACTGTGAAGCGAGGGAGTGAGTGGCTAAGAATCTCACAACAGAAACCTGCCTTCCGATACACACATCATTTCAGGTTTAGGGAACAGCCAGGCTTCAGCTCATCAACCATACCTGTTGGGTTTGTAATTCACCTACCATTCATACATCACCAAATGATTAATTCATACAAGAATCTATTTTTTGCTTCGTTTTATTTTTTTACTTGGGAAATGATCCTCAAATCTTAGAGGCTACAAGAAACTATAGAAGATGTCTAACTCAAACAGCTGCAGATTTAACAGATACAATTCAGGGCGGCTGTCCAGCAGGAATTACCACAAATCCATCCCTAACGGACTTCTGAACAGACAGCCCAAATGACTTCTGTCATTATCAGTTTGGGCCCACCGTGAGCCAACAACCTAAAGGAAAATACATTGGAGGCCCTTACTAGGGACTGTATAATCAAGCAAAATATAACCAATAACAAGACCTTAAAATATAGCTACTAATAGATGATAACTCAATTTCCAACATTCTCAGGCTCCCTAGGGAATCCGGAATAGAAACAACATCACAGAATGGCAGCGAGATTTGGAGACAGAACTCGGTTAGAATCAGGGTGCTGCCACTCATAAGCTGTGTCACGCCCACCGTGAGCCAACAACCTAAAGGAAAATACATTGGAGGCCCTTACTAGGGACTGTATAATCAAGCAAAATATAACCAATATCAAGACCTATAGCTACTAATAGATGATAACTCAATTTCCAACATTCTCAGGCTCCCTAGGGAATCCGGAATAGAAACAACATCACAGAATGGCAGTGAGATTTGGAGACAGAACTCGGTTAGAATCAGGGTGCTGCCACTCATAAGCTGTGTCACGCCAGGAATTATTTAATCTCTCTGAGCATTAATGGCGCAATTTGCAAAATGAGGATGCTATGAATGGCTTCTTAGACAGTCATAAGAATTAAGTGTGTGTGTCTCAGGTAATAATAACAAATAGTTACTGAGCATTTACTATGTGGCAAGCACTGTATGAAGTAAGAACGATTAGTAGATGAGTAGACTGCAGCACCAGAATTAAGTAACTTAATGAAATTCATACAATTAGAAAGGCACAGATGCAGGACTTGAACCCAGGGAGTGAGCACCAAAGCCCATGCTCTTAACTCACTACCCTATACTGCCAAGTATGGTACTTTTATACTGAGTGAAGACTCAGTAAATATGAGTCACAGCTAGTTTTATTATTGTTAACGTCCCTATTACCACATCAAGTAAGATTATAAATTAAAATACTCATGCCAAAGCATGCACAATACCTGGGACATGGCTGCAGAAGCTCTCCTTCAACAATGCAGGCCTCTTTCTCAAGAAGTTCGGGGCACTCCTTTCCACCTCCAATAGCAATGTGCTTCACATTCCGGCTCCTGCTCCTGAACCCTGGCGAGAGACTCCCTGAATGACACGTCTTGGAGCAGGGGCTCCAGGAGGACCATTCGGTGGTCTCACAGTCTTTCGGCATGATGCAGGACTGAACCGTCAAAGGGAAGGAGTCTTGCATGCAAAGGCTGAAGCAACAGAAGCAGAAACAGGAAGCCATCGATTAAATGCATGCAACTGACATTATGAAGTGCCCACTACAAGAAAAAAATCTGAAAGCTGGTTTAAGCGTTAAATAGGAAGACTTTTTAAAATGGTAGAGGCCTCAGGATAAAATATTGGAGGACATAACATTTTAAGAATGTGCACTCGATTTCATCTGAAACAGTGAAGCTGCTTCACTCTACCGAGACACACATGTAAGATAGGTCCACATTCATCGTTATTATGAAGAACAATGGAGGTCCTTCTAGGGTGCTTCCACCAATGACAGAGCCTATCATTACCATGTACTGACTGGTTTTCAGGTATCACAACTGTGCTGCATTCACAGACACTTTCTCGCGACAAGCTTATGAGTTTGCATTTTGTTACGTCCTTTTGAGGATAAGAAAACTTAGGCTCAGGGAGGCTAAATAATTTGTCCACTGTGAAAGGTAAATGTAAGCTGTAGAGTATTAGTCTATTTATTCTCATAAATACTGGGCTATTAAATGTGATATTATGTTTCCCCACATTGTCAGGCTCTAAGAATCAATTTCCTCACCTGTGAAATTTGTGTGCTATAAAGTACAAACAGTCTAATTGGGAAAGAGGTAAATAAATAAAAGATAAGATAATGTCACATGAACTCAACATAAAAGCATTTACAATGATGAGGAGAAACACTGATTAGGCAGTGGTGAACCGCCTGGGATGGCAGGGGTGCTCAGAAAGAAGGACATATGAGCTGCATTTGTAAAGACTAACATATGAACTCAACATAAAAGCATTTACAATGATGAGGAGAAACACTGATTAGGCAGTGGTGAACTGCCTGGGATGGCAGGGGTGCTCAGAAAGAAGGACATATGAGCTGCATTTGTAAAGACTAACAGGAGCTTCTGCAGCTCAGGGGGAACACCATTCTAAGTCGTGGTAATAGCATATTCAAAGCCTTTAAATTACACCTTGTGTGGATGCCAGATCTGCCTGTACTGGCTCACAAGAGCCAACTGTTAAATTTGCAGGAGTTTTGCAAGCTGCTTGACTTTATTTAAGTAGCTTAAAATTGGCTAAGGTAGGAGAAGTTACACTACAGAAATCGGCAAATACTACAAATCAAGTACCTGCTCCCTAACCCCTGGGAGCTAGTTGTAAAACACTTACGAGCACACCACTGGGGGGAAGTAAAAGCCAATTTGTTTTGCTGAAGTTATCAAGTGCAAGGAGGAAAGTGGATAGATATGAGGTTAGCAGGTTCTTCAAAAGTAGGTCTGGAAAGGCTTCATGACATGGGCTAAGGAATTTGGATGTAATTGAGCATTAAATGATTTTAAGTGGAGGAAAATCAGACTCATATAAAAAGATAATATTTCAGATATTAGTGGGCATTCTTTTCCATGTCACTTCCTTGTTATTAGCCTTTCTCTTATTCAGTCAAACACATCCATTACTTTGGGAGAAAAAGGATACTTTTCATTGAAAAGTAAAGAAAGGCTCAGTGTTCAAATAGTGCCTTCCTAAATTGAGCCTAAGAAACCTGGTGGAACAATGGACTACAGACAGGTTTTGATAATGATTCCTCCTGTACATCATTAAAAATAGGAAAAAGTCTTAAATTGTTTCCAGGTTTCTAACTTGGGAAAACATTTAGGAGAGCTACCACCTATGGAAGACAGTGTGCAGGCAAGAATAAAACATGCTCATATTTGGCCATATTGATGAGTAAATTACAGTGAGATTTTCATATTGATATCCCTCATTAAGCTATTCAGAGTTAATGTGGCATTTGTAGAGAAAAAGGTAAAATGATATGAGAAAAACTTTGGTCCAATATTTTATTTTTTTAAATATATTTAAATCATATTAGTCCCTTCAAAATGAAAAGGACAGTGTTATTTCATGATTATTATTCAAACCAATGTGACATTTTGGGGGCCTAGGATCAAAGAACATTTGGTCCAATATTTTATTTTTTTAAATATATTTAAATCATATTAGTCCCTTCAAAATGAAAAGGACAATGTTATTTCATGATTATTATTCAAACCAATGTGACATTTTGGGGGCCTAGGATCAAAGAACACAAGGAAGAACCTCTCCTGTAAATGCCCCACCTAATACGCAATATATTGCCACTGTCACCGAGCAATGTGGAGGTTGGAGGGAGAGGGCCAATTCTTTCTGTTGTGTGATGCAACAGAAAGCTATTGATCACCAAGAAGTTTCTAGGTTCTGCCATTTCAGAAATTATTATGGGCTGAGTAGCATCCCCCGAAAATTGGTATGTTGAAGTCCTATCCTCCAGGACCTCACAATGCAACCTTATTTGAAGAAAGCTCTTTAAAGAGGTATTTAACTTAAAATGAGGCATTAGAGTGGGCCTTAATCCAATATGACTGGTGTCCTTATACGAAGAGATGAGGACACAGGCATGTCCAGAGGAAAGATCAAGTGAAGACACAATGAGAAGGCCATCTACAAGTCAAGGAGAGAGGCCTCAGAAAAAACAAACCCTGACACCACCTTGAAATTGAACTTCCAGCTTCCAGAATGTGAGACAATACATTTCTGTTCTTTAAGCCACCCAGTCTGTGGTACGTTCTTATGGCAGCCCAATCAAACTCGTACAGAAATATAATGAAGTTCTTTAACATGTGTAAGCTTTTAGAAAACGAGTTTCAATTTCCAAGACGGACTTTCTTCTCCCCTTTATAAAGCAAGCCCCACACTCATCAGTCTCTGTCTGTAGGTGAGTGGGGGTTCAGTTCTTCCCACTTTCACTCTGTTGCTCATCCTTCCAGCACTGACTTTTCCTACTGCACCAACAGAACAGACAGCAAGTCTCCAGCAGTAAGGGCACATGCACAGAGCTGCAGGGATTAATGAAGGCTTTTATATTTTTGAAAGGGCTCCTCATTCTTGTTTTCCTGTCAAGAAAGTGCATACGTCCCTTTGATTACATATTTACTTACTTGTAATGTTATTTTCACTAGCCTAGCCCCTTGGTTAAAAAAATAATAATAAAAGGTACCATGTCAGACCCCAGTCTAATTTGATTAGAGAGATTTCATTTTACTGAAATAGTGGAAGGAACACTAAATGGTGAATCAGAAATATCTGGGTCCCCATTTTCACATCACAACATATTAGTATAACCTTAACCTATTGGCTGCTTAGTTTTATTATATGTAGAGAAAAACAAGAACAATAAAATGTGATCTCCTCACCCCCCTGTGTTGTGGTAACTTTTAGTGTAGGTGGAATCACCTTAAAAGCTAAAACCCACAGCAGAGACTATTGTCCACAAACAAATGGGAATTGATCCTCTCATAGAAGGTGGTGTGCCTTTTTAACAAAACAGACACATACGGTTGATTTTTCTTTTAAAAAGGAGATGCTGTCATAATTATACCTGCTTGACATTTATAGAGTATGTTGTCATTTGTAAATTAATTACTTCACAAGTATTCAATAGTAAAGGGAATCTTTGAAATTTAAAAATTACTCTAGTAATTCTTTCCTATCCTGGAAATGTAAGAAAATCTCTCTACTCACAAATAAGTGCAGAAACTTTTATAAGATAAAAACCAGCAGTAAAATACCCCCAATTCATTAGCACTTAAATTACCACTACTTTATAACATACAGAAAAGTAGAATAATATAACAAATACTTCCATACTTTTCTAGCAAAGACTAATATTTGGTTCAGAGTTCCTTAAATACATTTAAGAAATTACAAATTCAGTGGAAATTCCTTGTGTTCTTGGCAATCCCAGCTCCATTTCTCTCTCCCCAGACACAGCCACTATCTTCAAATTGATTTGTATTATTTTAGATTATGTTCAATACTTTAACAAATGAGTATATATTCATAAATAGCATATATTATCCTCATATGTTTTTAAAGCTTTACTTTAGTATTGTTTTATTATACAAATTGCTCTGGAAAGTATTTTCCTCACTTAATATTGTGACTTC